ATCCCAGATTGGGAGGTTCCAGAGCCTAACCTCAGTGAGTGCAGATGCTGTTTTAAGGGGTGTGTGAGCATTCTGGTTTTGCTTGCAAAGCAGGTGAGCCTGCCTTGTCCAAAGACTGGGCATGTGCCCACCTGAAATTGCCAAACATGCGTGCACATTCAGTTTGCACAACTTCTCAGTTCGCTTTTGCACCCATGTCCTAATTTGTGCAACTTTCTGCTGCAGTCTGACTCAGCCCCTCTTTCATCTATGGAGGAAAGTTGCCAAAATTAGGAAATTTGCACAGATTTCATGCTCAGAATTTGTTCGATTTGCTCGGCTATCCCCTTGCACGAAGTGCATAACATGAATAATCAAAGGGCCCGCAGTGGCTTTGGAATGAGGCCGATAGAGGATTCCTTTAGTCCATCTCTTCCTAAGAATCTCCCAGATTCAAAAATGTCTTCAAAACAGGACAGAGAGACCTTGAGGATTTTTAAAACTCAAATATGACAGGAAGCAGAGCTGATGGAATCGACCGTCCCTATTCAAAAGTGGGTTTTGAGAACCCCACAGCATTTGCAAACCCATTTGCAAGCCCAAGTATGCTTCTCAACAAAGCCCCGAAATTATATATTTCTATGAAAAATGAAGAATACACTCCTCTGGACTATCTTATCAAAGAGACACGGAAATACCAATGGATGGCATGTGTCTGACTGAGAAAGAAGTGATTTCGTAAATGCATTCTGAACAATACAAAACCCGGGGAAAAAGCTTTAATCTGCCAATTGCAACAACCTTGGACAAAATGGATTTCTAATAGAATATAATGTAAGCCGCCTGAGACATTGTGATAAGGGATTTTTGTTTTGTCTAAAAAAAAATTTACAGAGAGAGAGAGAGAGAGAGAGAGAGAGAGAGAGAGAGAGAGAGAGAGAGAGAATGTGATGCACTTTTCCTGAAAGGTCTTAATTTAAAGTATCTTAATGAACACTCAATTTATAGGAGCAAATTGAAGAACGTGAGATGAAAAAAATGGTGATAAGGGATAATACCATGGAAAGGAGGAGGAAAAAGATTAGAAAGTAAGCATATTTAAAAAGAGTTCCGCAAAGGATAGCAGAAGTGGGAAGGAATAAAACAGTAGATTTATGAATGCATTACATTCTAATGCTGCTGTTTGCTTGACTTCAAGATATAGTGTGGCTTTTATGGCCAGCAGGTACAGAAGAAAATAATTGTGGTAACAAGCATAAGAGGTGGAAAAGGTGCTTAGGAAGTTAAGGATTGCTCAGTGGCCATTTCTTGGATATTTGAGGAGAGTGCTTAATTGACTCCATCTCCATGCCCACACTGCTCATCTTAAGACTCCTCGATGAAACAGAAGTTACTACGCTGCCTTTTCTTTTCACAGTTGCTATCGGGAACAAGAATTACCACATCATCCAAAGCCAAGATCTTCTGCTGTTTAACTGCCATTGTTACCAGTTTCCCAGAAGGATTCAGCTGGCCGGCATGAGAGACCACAGGGTGACCCGAATAGCTCCTCGCTTTCTCGTGGCAGGACTCCCATTATGTTCCTACAGGCCCATTACAAGACCATCGAGTGTCGTCATGCCGCTTGTGGTTTTTCTGGAAGCCACCGAGTGGCCTGGGTAGGAAACCGCAAGCGGCGCCACATGGCCCCTCGGGCTCTTCTGGCAGAACATCCCTCACGCCCTCATGCTCCCATTCTTGGATGCTGCGATTTCACAGACAGAATGGGGAGCCCTGGGGGAAGAAGGCTCCAGGTCTCATCTTCACCCTTTGTCCTCCCGCTTCCACCCTCTCCCATGTCTCCCAGTTCAGCCCTTCTCCTTCTCCCTTTGGCCTTCTCTTCGCCTCCCCGCTCTGCTCCTCTGTTTGGGGGCTGGGCACCATTTCAGGCCAGTGGGTGCAGGACGGGATGGAGGGCAGGGCCCAGAGAACTAAGGAATCCACAGTCCAACAATGAAGTCCAGGTGCAGCTGGACAGGAAGCCAGAGCCTCAGACCACGTAGGACTTGGACTTCCTAGAGACTGGGAGCTCCTTCCAAGCACTACTTGAGTCCTTCTCCCATAAAGGGGCCACGATGGTTTTTGGGGCCTTTGGCTGCCGCAGGATGGAGCAATTGGAGCAGGAAGCTGGCAGCAGGTTCAGAAGTAGATACCTGATCTTCTGCCCTGTGGCTCTTCTGGGCCGAAACCCCTGAGCAGAGAGGGGTTTTGAGGAATGCTTCCAGAGGCCATTGCTCTCCTGGGTCTGAGAGGTCAACATCAAAACCTTCTCCTCCTGAGCTGGAGGACTCAAAATACTGGGTAATTTGGCCAGCTTGGCACCACTCTCCTATCCCCTGTTGAAACCATCCTGAGGCTGGAGAAGGAAGCAGGAGAAGCTGCCAAAACCCTTTTTGCTGCCATGTCCAAGTTTCCAGAACCGCTTAGAACCTATGCGGAGAGTTGGGTCACTCAAGCTTTGCAGTGAAGAAATTCTGGGCAGATCTTCCCAAGAGGGCCCCTTCCTGAGCAGGAAGGAGAATAAGAGGGCCTCCTGCCTCCGTGTCCTTTGAGCAACAATATCTACCCAAACCCTGAAGTATCTGGTGTTTCTGGTCTTGCACATTGATTGCACTTTCTGGCTTGCTCTCTGGTCCAACTTGCTCTTCAGTCCAGACTTTTGATCTCACCTTCCTGCTTTGCTCCAGACGACTGGCCACCACCTATTCCTGTCACCTAAGCACTCCAAGGTAACAGTCACAGCATGCTAAGTAGGTCAGTTTTGGACAGTTTTTCTGCCTTCACAGAAGGCGATTATTCACTATCTCTCCCAGCACTTTGGATGGTGGAAGCCAAGTATCAGACACACACCAGCTCCTTGGACTTCCTAGAGGCTGGCTGTATCATTTCTTTCTCTTCCAGAAAAGTCCATCCTGGACTGGGGCCAGGAGGCACCCCATCATTGACATGCGCCTTCTCACCTTCCAAACCAGCCACCCTTGTTGACGTGCCCAGTCCATGGCAAAGAGATGGAACGTTGCTAACTCTCTTCTCTGGTGGTGTTTTTTGAAAGCTATGATGCTCTACAACACAGAACCCAGATCATAGTGCAAAGATAGCTGGAAGAAGCTTTATCCTGAAGTGTGGTGAAGGTTTTGTGGATTGGGGTTATTTTTTATTTTGTTAAGGGAGTAGTTGAATTTTCTAAACTAATGGCAAGGTAAGCCAGAACAGCAAATTAAAAGAATGATCAAAGTTAAATATTTATTCCAAGAGCAACAATATTTGCAAATCTAGAATGGATCTTATGGAGTTTTCTATTTGCATACTTTAATTAATCCAAAAAATATTAAAACTAATCTCACAAAGGAAAGGGTCAGAGTATTAATTAACTCGAGATTCATTTCTTTTGTATAATTTAGAAGTCTGACACAAAGCAGAAAACGATGTTAATAAAACCTAAGTTACTGTGACAGGTATAATTTCACGGATTAGCAAAACTTCCAGCATTCTCAACAAGTTTATGACTAACTTAAATTTTTTAAGTTACCCTGCTTCAATTAAAACATTTTTCTCTCCTGCAGATGAAAATTACATTTCATTCTTCCTTTAACCTCAATATTTCTCTCTTAATGTGATTTTTCTTTCATGCGGCTCTAAACGGAACATGGGTCACAACTGCAGCAAATGGGAAAACCTAAGACAGAATTAAGAAGCAGCCATATTTCCACAGCTGGTGTTTTCAGCACAACAGCAAAAGTTCTTGCCAGAATAAAGCTCTCTTCCTTCTTTTGCCCCGCCTCTATCTATGGAAAAGCCTGGCCTTCTAGGGAGAAAATGAGTTTGCACTGGATCAGAGCAGTCTGTTCTATTTAGTCATGCAATGGTAAATTCTGACGGAATCACCCGTCCCGCCAGACCCATAGCAGCTTCCCCAGGAAGAGGCAGCTGTGTTGATGCAAATTAATGTCCTGGTCCCAGCAGTTTCCCTCTTTACCAGGAGCTGCTCTTTTGTAAATCTCGCCAGCCAATTCAAGATCAAACTGCCCCAGAGTAGTTGGCATAACAAGAAGGAATAAGATCCATCCAGCCATTCACGGTGAAATCCGCAGCTAAGTCCCAAGACAAGAGGGAATATTTGAGGTGAGTTATGGCCATCCCACTTAGCATGGGAGGAGCCCAGGGGGTCTGGATTACCTCCATGCACCCCTCACTCAAAAATGTTTAGACAGCCAATTTGGCGGATTTTTTGTCATCCTCGGGAGGAAGAGACGAAGCACCGTCTGGATGCAGGGGCAACTGATGGTTTCGACCCTCCCCTGGACATGTCATGAAGATGGTCTTCCCATCTTTGGTGGCTAAGCCCATATGAAAAAAGCCACAGCTGCTGAGAAGGTGAGAGGGGGCCCTGCAAAGGAGACGTCCCGGCAGCAGCCGCAAAGTCTTCTCCAAGGTCGAGGCTGGGACTCCACCTTTTTGTATGGCCAGCTGTACCACCTCCCTTAGCCTCCACCCCGTGCCTTCTAGAGCTTAGGATCTGGCTAAGAGGCTGCCCGTCTCACTGCAAGCCCACCTGAGTACTAACCTCTGCAGGAAAGACCCAGGAGCGACCCACTGCCTTGCTTATTAGTAAGGGTATTAAAAGGCATCTTTCCAATTGAGCCTTTTCAAATCTGCCTCTTCCTGGATGCTCTCATGCACTTATTGCTTTCAAAGTCTTGTTTTTAATCACTGGAAGGTGCGACAGTTTAAAATTGCTGCCCTCAGCCCTGACGACGGCCTTTGAGCATTTATATAAACGCCTAATGGCAATGAAGATGCCTTGGGAAAAACACACGTGTCTTTGGAACTAGTCTGGAAAGCTTTCCCCAGTGCTAGAAAGCTGCGAAGGGAGAAAGCAACGGGGTCCCATTCAGTAAAGAAATGGCCGGATCAATACGACTCTCCATCCTCCCCGCCCCACAAGGCACTTAACTAGAAACGGCACGGCCGGGAGTTCGTACCTGCTCTCTGCGTTGGGATCGATGCGCTCGCAGACAATGGTGGCGGTGGTCTGCGTCCGTCCGTTGTCCACGTCTTGTTGTACTCCCCACTGCTCTGGATCACTGACTCGGATGTCGACTATCTTCACACCTGGGGCAGCCTTAATTCTACCGGGAAGAAACCAGACACGGCTTTAGTTCAAAGCAATGGTGTGGGGCTGAGAGGAGAGGCGAATGCTGGCAGAAGTTCCCAGTGAACGGCCGGCGACGCACCTTCCTCGCACGTGCACCCAAGAGCACCTTGGCTTCCCCCTGCGTACCAGTGAGTGTTCAGGACCGTGCAATTGCTCTGCACACCAAGGAGAAGGCTGGCCCGTGATGGGCAGAGGAGAAGCATCTCTGGGTCAAGTTCCACCACATCTCTGAGGGGCCAGCAGGGCGGCTTCCATCCCATGGGAGGGGGGCTCCTGATGGGGCGGGCTGGCCCTCCCATGAGGCAGAGTGAGATGGTCCCCTCGGGCAGTAGCTGCTGGAAGGAGACAGCTGGCGCCTGGAGGAGAGAGAGCCATGCCCACGGTCTGCCTAGCGACCTCTCCGTTAGCCAGTGCAGGACAGTATTCATTTTTTACTTGCCAGTATTGAAAGAAGATTAAATTTTAAAGATTATATTAAAGGAAGATTTGACTCCCAGTCCAGCGCATGAGATGGAAAGGGCCTCCCTGTGCCGCACGGAAAGTGCCATTCCATCGGAAGTGGCTAATGCAGGGAGATGTGCTGTGGCCCACGTGTTCTCACCAGCCCAGCGTTCTCCTGCGCTCTCCCGTGACTCCAGGCCATTCTCCAGTCGGCACCCCGATAGCCAGGTAGGTCTAGGCTAGCTTTTCCCAACCTAGGGTTTTGGACTGCCTCCTGCAGGCCCAAGCTAGCATGACCGGTGGAGAGAAATGCTGAGAGTTTCCAGAAGGCGCCAGGTTGGCAGAAGATGATCTTGGCCTTTACTGTACAGTAAGGTGGCCAATTTGGGGATGACTGGGAGCCGGTTTGTACCCCTGGGGGGCTCCAAAGGCCACGCTGCTGCTGCCACTCTGCCACTAAAATTCAGTGGTGCAGCAGGGCCCACGGCGGAGAATGTAGCCTGCGTGTATCGAAGGGTGCAGAACATATGTTGCCAGCCCCTGCTCTGTATGGAAAATGAGAAGGCACATGGACATCTGGAGCAGCAAGAACCACAAGCCCATGAGTCTGGCTGGAGATACCTTATGGCAGGACTGATGGGAGGAAGGCAGGTGGCCGAGACAGAAAATGCAGGCGCTTTGCGGAAGCTAGCATATGCTGGGTGGGAGTGGAGCCACCTCCTGGGAAGAGCTGCAATAGCTATGGAGTCAGAGAACAGGACTTGGAACCCAGGACCTTGACAAGACGACCAAGAAACGTCCCTGTCCGTGACAGTTCTCCTACCCACAGGTGGCATTCCAGCTCCCAGTTCTGTACCTGTCAGGGGATCCTAGGGGCCATTGGGATTTCAGCTGGCCCTACGGAGCGGCCGGCTGCTCCATTCAAGCAGCTCAGTGCTCGCCCCAAACACAGCTATCAGACCGCCTCTCCCTTCCTGCCTCAGGGGCCATGCACCCACTGGTCCCAACAGCCACTCCCAGGCAGATGCTTCACTGAGCATTGAGAGGGAACCGCACACGTGAGCTCGCTCCAGAGGAACTTAAGCAAGCTCCTGCCTCTCTGGCTGGGGCCCAGGGTGCTCCTTTGGAGTGCAAGAGCCTATTCACCCCCTACAGGGCCGGATCCGAGAAATGCTGACCTGCCCATCTGCTCAAGCCAACTGCCACATTTCGCCGCGCTTCGGCAAGGAGACCACACATTTCTCATCCATCCAAGGACATTTGACGGTGCTATTTTTACCCAAGTGGGCATCAGGGGAGATTTGCTGACGCTGCTCCTCCCGTCAGCTGGCCATTTGTTTCTGCCCCACGGGGCTGCTGTCTCCTCGCGCTGATCCTCCTGGCTCTTCACCAGAGCAGCCTCTGCTGAGGATGCAGATTTTATTCACCCCCCCCACACACACACACACACCCGGCTTAGTGTCCGGCGAGCCTCATACGTTACAACCCCCCCTTCCCAAGACTCTACTGCCCCCCCTCCGAGCATCTCATCAAGTGGGGTTCACCTTTTGTACTGTCCTGAGCTGAGCAGTGCAAGAGAGACACATACCAAGATGCACCTGGACACCTGGGCAAGAGGAGCAAAGTCATTTAGCAACGCTGGGCCACGAGCCCTCTGCAGCCCACCTGCCTCGCCCTGCCCTGCCCTGCTTTGCAGCCCGGGCCTTCCACCAGCCCTGCCCACTCTGCCCTAGCAGTGGCACATGCCCCGCAGAGCCAGGGAAGACTTTTGTTCTTGGAAAAAGAGGTGAGAAGGGAATGCTTGGAAGCAGATGCATGGTCCCCAGAAACTCCTGGAAGGGCCGTTTTGCTCCCACAGCAGGCACCTGCTCCCCTGCATGCCTTTTTTGCATCCCTTCTCCCTGTCGGCCGGAAGGAACCCAGCTGCCCAAGTAAGAGGGTCCGTGGGAAGTACATTTTTCCAGGATCCCTGGGTCCCTTCGTAGGGACTGAAAGGAGGTGGAGGAACAGGCTGCAGAGGTGGAAGAAGGTGTTCCTCATGAAATCACCTCCTGGAAGGCTGACAGAGCAAGGAGTCAAGCAGCTTGCCAGCCAAAATTACATGGGACCTTAAGGGGATCGTTATCCTTCAGCATTTATATAGGACTCGATAAACTTCACGACACCCCTGTGGAGTAGATCAGTGCGGTTAATCTGCTCCTGGTAAAACAGGCAAGTCAGACTAAGAAATGCCACTCCGCATTCCCTTGCCTGTTTGACTTCTCCACAAAGCTTTGCTGTTAAAAACTGTACCTGAATCGCACACCAGTGCTCTTGTGTACTTTTCTTAAAAATAATTATCCTGCTGCTATTTTTATATAACCTTTTCCCAGCTGCATTATCTAACTCAGACACATCAACTCCGCCAGAATGCAGCAGGTATGAAGCAGCCCAACGGAGCATTACACCCTGCACAAACAGCAGCGCTTTGGCAAACACGAAGCCGAGCAAAAGGAGGCTTGGCCGGAACGCCGAGACACGCGAGTGCTCTTCAGCCAAACATGGAACTGCAATCTTATTAGCAAACCTTGTAGCCCCGGCCAAGAACTGCGAAACTGCTCCACTGGGGCATATCAGTAACTCTGTATAGATACCTGAACCGTCGCACTGATGCAGCTCCCTGAAAACTTCAGATTAAGTAGTGCTTTTATGGATTCCTGCTCCAGTTACAGCCCCTTTGTCAAAGGGCTGGATCAGGTGTGTGCGTTTCTTCAATTTAAGGTTGGGGAGCACTGAAGAGGAACCTGAGTGTCGGAGGATTTCCCCCAGTGAGAAACTCTCTGACATGCAGCCCTTTCCCAGGCTATCCCTGGTCGAACAAGGCACAATGTAAACATCCAGAGCTTTAGCAGCCTTTTAAAAGGCTGGGACTTGCAATACGCCAGGACTTTCAGAAGACCTTCAAAAGTCCAGAAATAGATCTGGCATAAAGTCTGCTGTGGTTGTAGACTAGGGATACACACAATATTTCATCCCTTGAGGTTTTGCCTGCATGCACACACATCGAAGGGTAGTTGGAAATAAAAAATAGTCTGGGGTTGCAATACTTGACAGTGCGCCTCGTCTACCTGGATTCTACAGTCAGCAGCCAGGGCCTTCCTCCAAGTGCCAACTCCACAGGAGGATCTGAGGGCAGCAAGAAGAGCAGGGCGTTCTCAGTGGTGGCCCCCGGTTCTGCAATGATTTCCCCATTGAGGCCCATCTGGACACAGCCTTTCAGCCCCAAGTGAAAGCGGCCCTCTGCGCTGAAGCAAAGGGTTAGTTAAGGACTATCCTTAAGTCTCAGGTCTTTTACTCATCTACCCAAAGTGTTTTTGAGCTGCTGCTGCTGTTGTTTTAATTAACTATTTTAAACCATCCAGAAAGCTTTGGCTATTGGCTGATCCAGAAATGAATAAATATCAGAATAAAAATAGGAAGCTGGATTGTTGCCGATGACAAGGGAATGCCTAAATAGCAGTTCCTTTGACTGCTATACTATAGCCAGAGAAAAACACTTGGATGCAAATGCAGCCAACTGGACATGGGTTATTTCAGATGTTCCTACATTTCTGCTGACAGGTTCTTTCTCGCTGCGGCGGTTGTCATAAAACTTCCTTTTTAAATTGGATTTGATACCGTTGCATTTTCTTCCATTGTAATTATATTTTTATCCGTATGGCCAAGAGCTGAAAAAGAGCAACTGAAAAGAAGCAGGAACTGGGAGATTAATCGATCATTGACACTAATGGAATTCCAGCTCTACCCTGTTCCATATTGACTCAGAAGTAATTCACACTGTATTCAGTGGGGCTTATTCCAGGAAAGCGTGCACAGGATTGGAGCAATCCTGCATCGAGAAAGCAATCAGGACGCCGGAGGGAGAGTAACACGGCAAAGCAACCACATCCTCTGTTTTGTCACTGACCTGGGCAGGAGATATGGGCGAGTTTTTCTCCCCTCTTTTTCACCCAGCCCCACTCTTTGTCACTTTCTTAAAACTTCCCTGCCTGTCGCTTCAAGTTTGCCACAATGTTTTGCCCTTTTTAAAATCTGTGGCCCCTGTCACTTTGGCCTCCCCACCACCTCCACCGCCACGGAATTAGCCCCCCTCCCAAAGCATCTTCCAAAGGCAATTTGGCTGATGGGTTGCAACAGCACCCCCCCCCCCCCCACTAAGCTCAATCTTGCAACGCCAGCATTCTCTGCTCCAAATGTGCTCTGGGGTTGCTCACACTAAATGGCCCAATCACAGCCCACAGCACAGCATAATTACTCACCCCAGGCAAAGGCTGATGGGGAGGAGTCGGGAGCAGCACAGGGAATCCTGCAGGGGGGCGGCAGCCTGACTCCTGCAGGGCTCATTGCTTCGGATCTCGCAGCTGCCTTTGGCCACCCGGTCATGTGCGCCCCCAGCCGCTCTCCCAGCGCACCGCTTGGGATGCAGCATGTTTGGCATGGCAAAACCGTGGGCCATAATCCTGCAGAAACGCTGAGGCCCGCGCTTTTCCCAGC